TTGTCACAAATAGAGACACAACAACACATCTTGGTATTCAATCCATGTTGAACCCAGTACAGATGTTAGACAGGGATGGAAACTTCTTGTCACAAATATAGACAACAACACATCTTGGTATTCAATTCATGTTGAACATGGTACAGATGTAAGACAGGAACGAACATTTCACTCCAAGGAGTCACAATCACTTAGCCCACAAGAAAACAAATAGGAAATTATCAATTCCTGAACCAAATAGAGTTTATTTGTTACAGATATTTATATGAAGTACAGGATTAAAATGTTAAATATTCTTCTTTTTTTTTTTTTGATCATCACATTTCTCGTGTACCATCAAACCAGGCATGGAAATATGTTTCATGTACATCTTGGTGTTCAATCCATGTTGAACACAGTACAAATACTAGACTGTGACGGAAACTTCTTGTCACAAATATAGACATCACAACACAGTCTGGTGTTCAGTCCATGTTGAACACAGTACAGATGTAAGACAGGGACGGACACTTCTTGTCACAAATATAGACATCACAACACGATTGGCCTGAGCCATAATGACAAAACTCGACAACTCTGGGTAGGATCATAAGACAGCAACATATCCTAATCACCGACTGTTACACAGCAGAGATGCTAGACTGTGACGGCCGCATCCTGTGTCTACTGACAACATAAGAGGAAATATATTTCCACCATGGCCTGAGCTATGGAGGACAAAATTAATCAACTCTAATCAATTAAAATTAAGAAAAAACCTGTATTAAAAATGAAACTACTAAGGTCAGATTGATTTATTAAAGAAGCCTGAGCAAAGATGATAAAATTCAGCTTCTGTGGGTTGGACCACAAAAACATTTAAGGACAGATGATACTAACAATTTTTTTTTTAAAAAATCATGAAAATAACTAAAGCCATGTTTATACAAGTAAATGAATAATTTTAGCTGCATAGATTTTTATTTTTTTAAGTGTCTTCTAAAGTGATGAAAAGTTGTAGAAATTTATAAGGGTCACAAAAAAATGGTAGAATTTTGAACATCATAGAAAGTTTACAAATTCTTGATTTTTTAGAAATTTGATATATATTTGCATGATTTGCAACCAATTATGTACAAAAATATATATTAATCATGGCATCCATTTTTTGTTTGTATCAGCTGTCCTTAAGGGGAGAGAACTTGCATCTAGACATGCTGTTCCTTTCTCTTTGGAAAATACAGTAAAACACACTTATAGCGAACATGCTTATGATAAAATGACACAGCAAAGTGATTTTCATTCCCAGTGGCTTTCAAATATATCATATCCTTAACGAATATAACTAATTATGTTCATAATACAGCAAAATCGTGTCCCTGGCATTTCCTTATAAGCGTGTTTTACTGTACACAATTAGAACGACTGAATTTTAACAAGAATAGTGAGTTCTAATTGAGTTCTTATAGCCTGAGTTATGATGATGAAACACACCAACTGTGGGTAAGGATCAGAAAACAACAACATAAGGAGAAGATTGCATCAAGGTATTGTGTCCAGTTATCTTTTTTTTAATTTTGGATATATACAATTTAAATTAAGAACTTTAAACTGAGTTATGATGATAACATTCACCTACTGTGGGTAGGACCACTTGACAAAATCACTTAAAAAAGGGGGAGAGACTTGCATCAAGATATCCTGTCCTTTTCTCTTTAAAAAATAATACAATTCAAATTAAGAACCAACTGAATTTTAACAAGAATAGTGAAGTCTAACAGACTTCTTATAGCCTGAGCTATGATCTGTGGATGGGATTTTGAAAACTTGCATCCAGGCATTCTGGCATCTTGTCCAGTCCTCTTTCTTTTTAAATTTTGTATTAATTATATACAATTAAAAGTAAGATCTTTCTTTTAACTAGACTAGTGAAGTCAACTTGAGTTATTCATGGAGCTTAAGGATGATGATAACACTCAGTTACTCTGGGTTGGATCACGGAACAACATTGTTTATGGGGAAGAAATATGCATCAAGGCATCAATCCTGTCCCTTTCTTTTTTTGAAAACGTGCAACTTCAATATTAAAGAACCAACGGAATTTCAACATGAAGAGTCTATTTCAGTTCTTATATATAGAGGAACTTGCATCTAGGCATGTCCAGTAGTCTTTCTTTAAAATTTTGGACATACACATACACAATTGAGAACCAACTCATTTTTAACAAGACTAGTGAGGTCAGATGGAGTTGTTATTAATAAAGCCTAAGGATGATGATGATAAAATTCACCTACTCTGGGTAGGACCATGGAACAACAACATCTTAGCTGCAATAACCTAGCCCTCTCCGATATTTTTTATCTGATGTTTTCAGGAGAGGGCTATTCCAATTCCACAGGATCTCCATAATGGTGCATGATGTACTGATACTTGCGCTTGAAATTTAGTCAGACTTGATAAAGTAAATGTCGGTGTTGATAAATACTTGAGTTGATTGGTATCACTAAACTAAACATCGATGAATAAAAGCATTCCATATGAAATATTTTTCACAAACAGTGATATTTATACTTAAAATAAGTGGATAGATCCGCTAACTAGATCCCGAGTTCTCAATGGCTGTACCAAAATAAAATCCATCAAGGCCAGTAAACATGGTGGATAAATTCAAGTTGTGATGTTGACATACACAAAAAATAACCGATATATGGATTGTTCTGTATATTTTTGGATGAATTCATGTCTTACATAACTACATTTTTGAGTTCAGATAAGTAATGATAATGAAATAGGCATTTAATGATGATTTGAGTCAAAATCAGTGTGGGAGTGAATCACTCCCGCACTTGCACCATTACAGAGATCCTAAGGAGTTGTAGCCCTCTCCAAAAAAAAAAAAAAAAAGAAGAAATTGTACAGGGCTACATTATTGCAGCTACAACAACGTGCATCTTGGGATCCTATCTATTTCCTTTCCTTTTGGAAAATATACAATTTAAATTAAGAACCAAATCTGAATTTTAATAAGAATAGTGAGGTCTAATTTAGTTCTTATAGTCTGAGCTATAATAAAGATAAAATTAACATCCTATGGGTTGGATACAAGACCCCATCATTTAGGAAGAGGACTTGCAATCATATGCATTCTTCACCAAACTGTTCAGCATATTATCAAATCCTTTGTTCTACTGGAAATGTTTAAAATTATAGCCTGTGATATGATGACAAAATTGGTGCACTCTTGATAGGATCCCTGGAAAAGTACAAATAGGATGAGGACTTACATACAACTTCTTGCTTATTGTCCAATTCCTTGTCCAAATGGAAATACAGTCCAAATTAAGGAAATCAGAATTCTTAAGAGACAAGCAACAGTTATTTAAATTTTAAGAAGACCAGCATAGGCTAATTCAAAAAAGATCAACTAGGCCAACCTTGGTTGCTTTCATAGATGAAAAGCAAGAATAACTGTATATTGGAAAATTTTCAATCCCAATTTATTTTCATCCTCTTTGCCCTTGTTGCATGTGGGCAAATTTAGAACTGGTGTCTGTAATCTTAAAATAAAAGCCATGGCAGAAATAACCCAGTATACAGTGACTGAATTAATCAGAGTAAACCAGTAATCAAGTTCCAAGGAGACCAGGAAGAACTTGTCAAATTTTTCAGAAACACTGAAAGAGTAGCTGCATGCATGATCTCTGGTGAGACTTCTGAAGACAAAAGCTAGCTGAATACAGAAGGGATCATACTGATGAGAAGGGCTGAAATTGAAATGACAAAAGATTGACAAAGACAATCTCCTATTGTAACTTCTATTGACAGAGTAAATAATCAGAGATTCAATGAAGGTCACCTCTAGTAATGTCTACTCTAGAGTTGGAGTCTTAAGTGAAATGACCAGAAATTCTAAAGGACGGTTACCTCCTGTAAATTTTACTGACAGAGTAAATGCTCAAAGCTTATCTTAATACAAAATAAAGGATCTAATTAAATTGACAAGAAATTGACAATGAAGGGTCACCTCTTGTAACTTCTACTGACATAACTTCTACCGACAGAGCAAGAGGTGTAATTGAAATGAGTAGATATTGACAGTCACTGTAACTTCTACTGACAGAGTGATGATGAACATGTCTACCCTGAAACATCCTGGAAGTCGAAGAGGTGTGCTAGGATGATAGTGTAAAAATGTGCATTTTTGCTATAATATTTGTACTTAGAAAAATTATATTTAACATGTTTAAGTATCTTAACACTATTTGGGGACAATTTTTGAAAAAGTGGTCATTAAAAGTCATCTTTTTTTAAATATGCTGAATAAACATTCAAGTATTTTATACATGGTGGATAATATCAGCTGTTGTGGTCAGAGTATGGAGAAAAATTAAATTTTATTTTTATTAAAGAGTCTGAAAAATCATGCCAGCACTGTGCTTATGTTTTATGAGTGAAAGATATGTCTATGTCAATATTGCTTTGCAAAGGGAAACTTTTTTGGAAATTCTGGAGCAGTTGTCATGCATTTTGGAGTTTTACTGAGTCTCAACTATTTAATAAGAGGTTCTCTAAATACTGGAGGACTGTGTTTGAACTAGATTAAGAATCAGGTCTACATTAAATTACAAGTACTGAAAGAGCTAAAAATCACTTCAAATAGTATGTTACATTTTAATACGTCCAAGTAAAGCACCAATTTCAGTTTCCTTTCAAATAAACTGCATGAAAGTTGTGAAAAATAAATTCATAAAAAAATTTATTAATGATTTCTTTGTTCAACAATTTAAATTGATTAAGTAAAATTGGTATCTATTTATTTCGCATGACAGGGACTTTATGGGAACCTTAACTCAAAACAGATGAAAAGTGCTTAATGCTTAAAATTTATAGTGTGATATATGTTGTGTGATGTTTTGCGTTATTTACATGTTTAATAATTAGAATACTGAGGAATCGATGTCTATTACATTTACATGAGGCACTGAGCATTGCTATTAAATTTTGATCCTTTTTTCTCCAGGATAAAATATCGTTCTGGCTGGAGAGAACAAGGAATCTGACACCAGGGAAATTCACTGCTCTTATACGGAACCTACGGTCCCTCAATGACACTAGTGTGGATCTGCTTGGCAGAATCGTGTCCATCAGCAGTGTCTCCATATCGTGGCATTTCAGTTCCCTGTGTCCAGAAGCTTGTTCTAAAAGGTGAGGGTTTTTTTATACCCCCCGCAAACGAAGTTTAGGGGGGGTATATTGGAATCAGCATGTCCGTCTGTCTGTCCGTCTGTCTGTCCGTCTGTCCGTCTGTCTGTAGACGAGATTTTGTCCGGACCATTTCTTGGAAACTGTTGGAAGGATTTGTCTGAAAAATTGTTTCACTTATTATTCACCATATGAAGGTGTGCACCTGGTATTTTCATTATGATTGGATAATTATTTTGCATTTTACAGGTGTTTTTTTTCATTTTTATTATGTGGTTTTGTCTGGATCTGTTCCCAGAGACTATTGCATAGATTTGTATGAAAATTTGTACACTTATTATTTACCATATGAAGATGTGCACCTGGTATTTTCAACATTATTTGATAATTTTTCTGCATTTTACAGGTGTTTTTTTTTTTATTTTATTTTTATTGACTTAGTCATTTCGGGTTCATGTCTAAGGTTTGAGACATAGAATCTAGAACATCTGTACAAAAATGTGAAATACAGCTTAAAACTACTCATTAGAACTAAAAAAAAAAACACAAAGTATTAAAAACAGTTTTTACATTACACAGCAGATAGTGTAGATCCATTTGTCCCTTGGGAGTAATGAGTGGACATGCATCCAGTTAAAGATTAATTAATGAGTTCAGTGTGGGAAGCTGTTAGGGCATCTCTGATCAAGCAGGTCTTATCTATATCTCAGGGGAATTGGGCAGAAAGAAATAAAGATCTCTGTTGTCTAAGTCTCTTAATTGTAATTTATGTCTGTCAAAATACATAGTTACTAAAACCAGCCTTTTATTTTTAAAATGAGTTTGATATAAAGGTATTAAAATCAATTTGATTTTCTATAATTAATTATGATATTTTTTTTCAACAATCAATTTGCAGTGTGTCATGTCTCACAAAGATGGCAGATAGTTGCAAACTATTTTTTCAATGTAATAAAAAACACTGTGATTATTAGTGTTGATGTTTTATTAGGCTGCACCTTAGTTTCATTCATTTAATAAAGTGCCCCACCACAGCATGATATGCCCATCAAATATTGTTAAATTATCAGAAACAGTTTAGATTCAATTGTTTGAATGACATCTTTGCGAGACAAGGCAGTCTGCAATTTGTTGTAAAGATATAAAAATTCAAATAAAAAATGTACAATATAAAATAATTAGTTTAAATTATATTATACAATATCATATAAGTTTTAATTATTATATACAATATCAAATTAGTTTTAATTACATCAAATTTATCTTGAAAGTAAGACTAGCCAACAAGAACAATTCAATACAACAAAAGCAATTAATTAAGAGACTGATTCCTTTTGCCCATTTCCCAAGAGATGTAGATAACACCTGCTTGATCAGAGATGCTCTGCCAGTTATCTCCTCACACTAAACTCATTAATTTATCTCTAATTTGACATGCAATTTTCTGCTATCAAAATTTTCCTTGACCAGTGCCTGATCATTACACCCATGGGAGAGGTGGAATTTTTGTTGTTACAGATTGCTGTAAAGAACATAAGGAAAAAAATAAGACTAGTATTTTCTTGATTTAACACTTTTTTAATAAAGATACTGCAATACTCTGACATCTTTTGGGATTGTGTAATTTAAAAGTTAAAAGACATAGTTTTTTGATTCTAAGTCTAATGGTTTTCTAGTTATGATTTTTCCATATTTGGCCATAGCGTCTTTATTAAAGGTCAGAACGACATGGTTTTAATGTGCGACACACCTTCTACCCTAGATGTATCAGCTGACAAAGTTTGATAATTCTAGGCCTAATAGTATTAAAGTTATGAGCCAGACATGAAAAAGCTAACGGACGGACAAACATGAACGCTATAACATAATACGTCCCGTCATAAGACGGACGTATGAAAATATATAATGAGTAATTAAATTTTCACTGTAAATGTTTAAGGAAATTGTGAACACCTCTCACATCTAGAAAACATTAGTGATTCGGTACTTTCTCTGAAAAACCCAGCGGGGGGTATTTGTCCCTTTTGGACAGTTCTAGTTTGGAGGTGGTTTTAGCAGTACATATGAATTACTAAACAGAAACCAAGGATTTGTCACCAGGTGCAGTAGGGTTGTCTCTCTATATATAACCTTATCAGTTATAGATTAGTTAAGGTCAGTTTAGGTTAAGTTCATTATCTCTATATGTTACTGATAATGTATTGCATGACTACAGGGAGGCGAAAAGGGGGGGGGGGTTACTTAGTAAGGTCTATTCATTTTGCTCCCTATAATCCCCTTCTAAAGATGGACTAGGCTCTTACCCATTTATTAAGATGGACAGTCTATAAGGCATGCACCAACAGCCAATTACATATTCAATTCACTTCTACACAACAAACCAACACAAGTAGATGGACTTCATGTAGAAGACATGCAAAAAGTCCAGTACAGTGCAGTCCTGTACAAAACAACAGGTAGTCCAATACACGCCAAAGCAGTCTAGTAAATGTTCTGTACAACATATGCCATTACAAGAAAAATTGTTTTCCAAAAAAATTTAAATATATTTGTAAAAATAAACTTAAAAAAAAATTGATGGCACATTTTTATATATAAATGGGGATATACTAACTTAAAAGATCAATCTTGACTATTAATGAAACTTTTTTCCTTCTGAACTCCAAAACTTAACACTGTCAATGTGCATATCTTTAGGATTATGAACAGTGTTATATGATGGGGAAAAAATATCTATGAATAAAATGACATATAAAAATGATGTCTTGATTATTGAATTGTGATGTTCATGTAGTAGTGAAGTATGAGCTTCCTTCATGAAATTAATGTAAACATGGTAAATATTCCTGATAAAACACCCTGTTAAACATTGGTATTTAAGGTTGCAAATTGATTATCTATGAATTAAGATACAAGATTGTATCATTATGATTATGTACAAATTGTCCTGCAATAGATTTATAATTCTGAAATAAAATGAATGCATTAAAAATATGATTTAAAAAAAGAAAAAAAGAATACAAAATGAATCTATATTACGGAATGAAGACAGAACTTTAGAAGTTCAGAGTGAGCCCGAGGGGTAGGAGATAGTTCCTCTTTAGATCCTCTGTGGGAAGTTTGTTGTAACATACATTGTCTTTCTGATTGGAGTGAAAATGAGACTTGTGGAAATGAGCTGTCGTCGTGAGCACTTCTGCCTCATCGTCTTTATAGGCAGCAATAAAGTTTGTGGAAAAATTCTCATGATGAACTCGCAAGTTTTCCAGGGCCCACTGCATCTTAACATCCGACACTAAGCGTTTCTGAGCACGAGGGGTGCGAGTTTTTTTCATCATACGCGATGTGGTTTCTAGAGTCTTTTTAAATTTTTCCCCTCCTGGGCCCTTCTCGGGAATGACTAGTGTGGCACCAAAAGCTGTACCTTTGTTTCGAATCATCAGTAGGAAGATCTGAAACAACCGTTCCTCATCGATGCGTGGTGTTACTATGTACACAACAGCTCCACAGCCAAACCAATCGTCGATAAGACTCTTCCAAAGCCTCATGATGAAATCGTGCTGCATGATTCCACCACCTTCAGGGATCATATCCAATAGGTCTTGAACCTGCAAAATAGTTATAATAGGCAGAAGTTATTTAACAACCATGAACATTTTTATATACTTAAGAAAAACACTGAGAAAAGTTATAAAAATGCTTCAACTGCTTTCTCAGATGGAATGCAGTGATAACTGAATTGAATGCAAAATTAACCATGACCTTAATTGAAAGTAACTATTTTTGATGACAAAATAGGATAAGTTTTCCAAATGTGTGTTGGCGTATGTGCTGCATTTATTCCATTTAAATTAAAAGTTTGCAATATTGAGAGAACGGAGTTTTCTGAACTGTTTACTTTTACAAAAATTCTGCATTTATCTCTGAGTTTTGTTTTAAAAAACGGATAATAGATTGGTGTCCAAAAGTTACTATCCTCATGTTTTGAAATACAGATTGGCCTCTGAAAATTACGCTTCTTAGTTATGAATTTTAAAATTCTTTTTATAGGTCTTATTAAGACTTCAGCAATAATAGGTATTCAGTTAATGGTAAATATTCTCATCAAAAAGTTATCAAATGTACTTTACAAAATTGAGACAATGTACTGCCCACAAAAAATTGCAGATGAATTAAGAGCTCAAATTAAGGAGAGAAAGCATCAAACATGTTGAAATTACTGAAAACTGCAGAATACATCAAAATTAAATTCCTAGAATTGTTTTCCACAAAGTGATTAAATTGAGCATTTTCTGATAACATTAAAATAAATATTGTGAAATGACAATGTATGAAGAAACCCTATAAGTACATCATATTTCTACTAGGCTGATATTATTAACATTTATTTACTGCGTCATCAATATTTATAGGTGATTGATTAATGTGGCTATAAACTGGCTCTATATTCATGTATGCGTGGGTTAAATGTCCAGGGAAATGAGACACATTTATTAATGATTACCTGTAGAAAAGATCTGATGGAGGCATTTTTTAATATGACCTTTTGCTCATGATTCAAAAGAGAATTTTGACTGCATGTTTAACATTTCAATTGTGAATAGGTATCATATTGGTTAAACTATTTAATAAGTTTGCTTCTGAATCACAATCTCTCCAATGGAAAGATGACATATATCATAGAGCTGGGTACATGTATTGCTAAGAATTTTCGTATTGCTGTACATCATGTACAATAACATTGTGGTATTTAATAATAATTAATAAATTAAAATAAAAGTGTCACTTCATTCCAAAAACATAAATAAGTTCATGCTGACTCTTTCTAATTAATACAAGCATATCAATACATAAGAAAAAAATGTTTTGTTTACCTAAGAAAAAAAAGTTCTACCTCATTCCAGAGACATAAATAACAGATGTCTATGCTATGGCTGTCACGAGTACCCGAAATAACCAAGAACCACGGTCCAAGTTGTTCGGTTCGGTTTCGGTTCCATTTTTCCGGATTTTGGTTCAGATCTGGTTTATATATTAGAGTCTGTTCAATACAAAAAATGGCGTCGAAATCGAAGGAATGACAACGATAACAGTGATAAATAAACATTACAACTGAAATATACTTCGTTCCATGACAAAACACTTGTCTCGGAAGTATTAGTTAATTATCAAAACGAGCAGGAATGGTTGTGGCTTATAGTAGGCCAAGTAGTTCTACACACCGATGTCTAGACATTCACATGGTTAAGACTTGTTTTCAATGTAAATTTAATGTAACAAATAAAGATTTTTCAAGTTAAGTTCATGAAATTAAGGTTTAAATTATATGTAAATAACCGAACCGAAAAACCCGAGACCGAAACGAAAATTTACAGAACCGACCCAAAAAATTTTGGAACCGTGACAGCCCTAGTCCATGCCTATTTCATAGAAGCATATCAACAAGTAATGATCTATGCTGGCTGCTCCAAAGGACAAAGTCAGAATAAAATGTATTATTATATGATTGAATAATTTCCCTCATTCTGATTGGCTGAGATCCAACAATGTTAGAAAAATACTACATTATATTGACCTACACGTGACCTTCCAGGTCAATATAAGGAATTATTGCAGGTCAATATAATGAATCACGTGACCTTCCAGGTCAATATAAGGAATTATTGCAGGTCAATATAATGAATTATTCCTGTTCCATTTTTTTCATGTTCCAATGTGTTCTTGTTGAAATTTCTCTTTAAAACTTTCAATTAAAGCAAAAAACAAACAGTCTTGTAGGAGTTTGCTATCATTTAATCATATAATAAAACAGTTATTGCTGTTTTTTGAGGTCAATACGATGATTTAGACACCTGAGGAGTACAATATTCACCGAGCCCGAAGGGCTCGGTGAATATTGTACTCCTCAGGTGTCTAAATCATCGTATTGACCTCAAAAACCAGCAATAATTGTATATTATTGACCTGAGGTAAAGTTTTTTACAATAATATTTTGAGAGAACAAACTTTATGACAAGCATAAACAGTCAAGTCAGACTCTGAAAATTCAGTGTGGAAGAAGAAATTAAGAGTGAAGGAGACCACCAAAGCAGAAAAAAGGAGTCTGCGGAGGTGCATTATTTACTTCAGAAGTTGACATTTCTGGCAAAATTATTAACACAGTTATGCAAAAAAGTTTTGAAGAAGTGTACATGTGGGTTAAAATGTTTATTTAATTTTAAAGGGGAAAAAATGTTTGAACCTGCGATTTCCTTTCTTTAGGTAGAGTTTATATAAAAAGTTCCAATTCTTTTGCACTAAGAGACCTTTTAAAATTTTGCCCGCATGGTGCAGTGGTTAGAGTGTTTGCTCTAGAGTCGCGGAGTAAGGAGGTGATCCCAACGTTGCAGGTTTAAATCCCACTGTGGGACATGGAGACCGGTCCTTCGGATTAGACAGTATAAACCTAGGTCCTGTGTCACAGTAGGTGCTGGCATGAAAAAGATCCCTCACTGCTCGATGGCCCTAAGTGCCAAGTATAGGTCTAAAATTTGCAGCCCTCCACTGGCAAGTGGTGGCATCTCAATATGAGTGAAAAATTCTCGAAAGGGACATTAAACAAACAAACAAACAAAATTATCTGATACCCTGTATGTTTACCCAGCTGAAATCATGATTATACTGGTCAAATTATGTTAGAGAAAAATTATATTAAATATTTTTTAAAACCGCTTCCAATCGGTACCTCCTATTTTTGTAAAACTACCACCTGTTTCTAATCTTTTTGAAAGCCCTGCACTTAAGTGCAAGAAAATAAATTTCCTTCCATTGTAATCATCTTTTCAATTACCAGTCCCTCAATATGCACTAATTACTTATTATTGTTCACAAATAAGAAGAAAGATAACAGTTAAAAGCTTAAGAATTGTGACTTCATAAGAATATTTCTTTTTTTTTTATCAGTGATTCAATCACTTTTTTTCAACAAAAACTTTCAACTTTGTATAATGTCAAACCTGCTGAAATAGTTTCCAGTTTTGGTTACAATTTCGTTTAGGGTGCAAAATTCCGCATTGTTCACGTGACAGTTGGCGTGATGAGACTCGTCTAGAAATCGATTATAGAATAAAAAGAAAACCTTGACTCAGCAGTTTATTTTTAAACTTTGTTCATTTATATCTCTTCGTGTTTTGAAACTCCTCATTTCTAATTTATTCAATTAACAGCTTTATTATTTTTTTTGGCGCATATATTATCGAAAGGCGTGACTCGCCATATTGGTTTTCAAGGAGGTTATAGAATTAAGTTCGATTGTCCCTACCTTTCCTTTGTCGTCTACAGATTACCGGTGAGTACTACCACCAGAATTGATTGAATACCTTCATTAAGTCTTGTCTTGGTAATTTAGTCCCGTATATACAAGACAGTAAACCGAAACATGCCTCGTACACATTCTCTCGTCACCTTGAGATTTTATGGTAATTATTATTAGTATTCCAAGCCCGCATCTAAATTCCGATCCCGACTTTTATAAAATAAGATTTTTTTTTATTATCGATCATCATTATGTAATACAGTCTGGATACAATGAAAAAACTTTACAGCAAAGGATTTCTTGGCACAGACAGGAGAAAGGGAACAATAGTTACATAGTCAGAATGTTGAAAAATGGAGCTTTGCAGCTGCAATTTAGCAGCTGTTATTCTAGTACAATATATATATCTTGATTTAATTAGCTATATAGCTAGAATTAGATATATAGCTTTTTTTAAGCTATTCAGAATAGTTTGATTTAGCTATTTTCCTAAATGTGTTATTTTTTCAGCATGTACAAAAAATCGCATCTAGGGCAGTGAACTGTTCCGAAAACAATTAATGCATGCACATAAAAATTGTTCTTATTGAGAGACTTTGTACTCAAAGTTTTAAAAGTTTTGGGACTATATTAAACAATTATTTGTGACCACACAGTTAATTCTTGAATGAAATTATATATATAAAGAAGGTCAATTATGGTCAACAAGATGATTGATTGGTAATAATGCAGTACAATGTCAAGCAATCATACTTATCCATGACTCATTGTGTTTTACAGTTATCCAAACATTTGCAATTGCTTAAAAGTATATTCAAAAGCTGCATTGTTAAAATTATCTTTGATTTGGGTTGATTTTTGACAGCCCATAGACTTATAGTACAATTACATGAATCATAAATCAAATACTTGCAACTTTTTGTCTATTTCTTACAAAAAAAACATTTTTGTGAAAAACTGCATATATATATGGCTTTATCAAGCTATTAATTTGAATAGCTTAATAAAGCTATATAGGTATTTCAAGCTATATAGCTAAATCAAGAGATTGCAATGGACCTGGTTAAGTGCAGTGTGTAATCATGACTTAAATGATTGAATAAGATATTGTTTTCAACACCAGTAACCCTACCATTTCATCATTCTTATCCAGCTGTAGATATCTTGTGACAGAGTTGTCAGATATCATAGACATTCCGTCTTCCAATTCCTGGCTTTCATTATTAGCTGTCTCAAGCACCTCCGTGAAATTATCTACCATCCATTGCCAGTGGTTTTTTCCACTGATCTTCATCAGTCCAGTCTTACGGGACAGTTTGATGGTCACTGCTGGAGCCGGTTTAATTTTGACCATCTCGTTCTTCTCCCGATATGTCTGTTCAGGATATAAAGCGGTGAAGATATCCAGCCACCACCCCACCACATTGTCCTTTTTTGCGGTGGTGACTACAATCTCATCCCCTTTGTCAAAAAAGTCTATGTCAAAAGGGGTGGGTGTGGCCCAGATATCTGCTAACACTCGCAGTCTGTCTTTCTTTGAGGGCATTGTTTATAGTTTTAGCTTCTTGTGCAATAGTCTCTATGAGGTTTATAATTTGTCAATCAATATTCACATGACAAGCTGCATTGGTAAACAGACACTATCAAAAGATATCACATTAAAAACATCCAATTATTTAAAATTATAACTTCCTGTTAATCCATAATGAATGAGAAAGCTAGAATTTCCTGTCTTGGGATTCTATTTGGTCACAAAAAATTACAACAATCAATCGCAAAACTCTTCCTCAGTCAGTTCCTGGCTATAGGTGACACACCTGAGTGAAGTTTACCTGTCCCATTTTACTACAGGCAATTTCATTGGATAAACTTAAGTTGTGATAACCAATCAGAAAGTTGTTTACTGGAAAAGAAAATAAACATGTGGTAATATAAGGGAAATGACTCGCTGTTCTATATTTAGCTTTGGGCCTGCCTGACACCTTTTATGTACCTGAGACACATAATTTAATTATCTATCTATGTAAAACATGACCTTACACCAGTAGGAGGACAAGTGTCATTGTTTTGTAGGTGTTTAATAACCATGTCAAATAAAAAAAAAATGGATCATTATGAAATGCATGTATAATATATGGATGTTTTTTTTATTTCTGCAGCAAAAGCCATCATACATGTATATGTAAATTGAATCAAACTTTGATCAGAATAATTTAAGTGAAATTTTGGAAATACTACACTTTGCAATAGAAATGAAGTATTAATTAATAATTTTTAATAATTAAAATCAAGATAACCTGAAGAGAAGGGTTACCAAGTAATGAATAATTAGGATTTAAAGAACAAGGTTCACTTAGGGCCTTTTTTGGCCCTGTGAATTTCTGAAAAACTGAAACTGCTTACTTTTAGTTGACAATGCATTAAATATCATTTAGACATTTGGCGATTGCGAATCTACCAAAAATGACGTAATTTTCTGGCTAGTCAATGCATTATGACGTCATGAAATGCGTCATTTTCCTCATATCCTGAACAATTCTACGAAAACAGCCAATTTTTAAAGCTATTTTTCGATATTTAATATAGAGTGCAATCTCTGATCTAAAATATGCAATTATTTACTAATAGAACCATTTCTGAGGATTACAAAACATGTTTTATTTTTTAGATCAGAGGGTGCGCTCATATTATTTTTCTTCTCTGAAAGTACTTAAATATACCTGTTTTCCTTAAAATTCAAGAACCTTGCAATTCCATAAAGTTTGTTTTCCAAGACCTGGACTTTAAAGAGAAAAATTTTAATAGGAAATGAAAGCACTAAGTCTCTACTTTATCTTGATGTTTAAAATGGAACATAAGGTGTTAGTCAATAAATTGGTATATCTACAGGGCCATTTTATGCATAAAGTGAACCTAGCTCTTTATGAATTCTTCTTTTATTTTTTTAAATATAATTTTAGAGAAAAAGTAGGATATTATTCATTAAGCTAAATTTCATAAGGCTACACAAAAACTAATTGAGAATTGAGGAAAATGAAAGTTTAGAATTAATTAATATTAATTTAAATTTTGAGACGTGATAAAAACCCTTTAATTAAATAATGATATATTATCCTATTAAAAAGCCTTACATTAAAGAAAAGGTTTGTCCAATAAAATGTGATAACATTTAATATCATCAGAATCTTTTGCAGCACGAGTCTTCCAGAATGCAAAGAAAGCAAGGATTGCATTTGGGATCACATGTACCAAGAATGTACCACAACACCTGTATTACCAGAAAGGTGAGAGAAATTGATATAAACATATATGTCTTTGTCAAAGAGACTGAAATAGCTTTCAGAAAGAGAAAGAATTTCTAAATAGCATACCACCAACTGCATGTACCTGTAATTATAGAGAAGCTGCATGCAAATTGCAAATAACATGTAATATCTGAAGTATATACATGTAGATTTAACTTGTATTGGTTAGTGATACAAACTTAAAGCAAATTGTGTATAAAAGCATTGTTAGTATTTCCTTGCAAAAGTACACCATGCTTTATATCGGACCAAAATATGCACTAACTGCACATAAAATGCATGCACTATTGATTATTAGTACAATGTCCCTTTGTGGTGAGAAAATTGTGATTTCCTGAACAACTAGTATTTTGTATTAGTGTATTGTATTCTACACAGGATCCAGGCTAGTATTTACCTCCCCTGTTTGGGTCTGTATCAGCCTCTTGATAGCAGAGAAGAACAGCAGGTCCTTAAGGACATAGAGGGAGCTATCAGAAACATGACGGGATTGTCTAATAAGTCACTGCATTCATTTGAAGTAAAAAAGGTGAAAATGTCTGGTACATTTAATTACCATATCTTTTGTAAATAAGATGGTGAGATGCTTTTTTTAAAGGATTTTAGAAGGTCACAATTTGTACTAAAATTTCAATGGATTCAGGTGGCAGTCATTTCACTTTTTTAGCTCACCTGAGCCAAACATATGTCTGTCTGTCTGTGGTGTGTTGTATGAAAAAATTCAACAATATCAACTTTTCAATTATAAATCTTATTTCTTCAATTTTTAGCTCACCTCAACGAAGTTGGGGGAGCTTATGTAATACCCTAGGCTTCAGTGTCGGCGTCCTGTTTAAAGTTTTTGGTGCAGTTTTCTTTTCAAGTACTTCTGTGCCCTATATTATAATCAGAGATGCATGGAGGATGCTTCTAGTGTGTTTCATTGTACCAGTCAAGGTTTCAGATGCTGCAATTTCAGCTGAAGAATGACCAGGTTAATGTTTTTGGAGCAGGTTAAAGTTCTTAGAGCAGGTTAAAGGTTTTGGAGCAGGTCTCATTTCCAAGTAACTTAAAGCCCTATGTGGACCAAACTTGGATGATACATCTAAAGATGCACACTACCAGGCTTGCTTCGGATGCTGTATCTGACCGACATTTTCAAGATGAGTGACCAGGTTAAAGTAAACTATAAGGGTTATCTGAACTAAACTTGCACAGATGATGCATCACATGATGAACACTCTCAAACGTGCTTCAGATGCTGGATATGACTTACATTTTCTGGATGAGTGTCTAGTTTAAAGTTTTTAGGTAAGTCCATTCCCAAGTAACTGCAAGCCCTATCAGACCGAAATTGCATAAATGTTACATCTAGGGATGCACACTACTAGATTATTAGTTTGGGACTTTGCCTTACTTAAAGACAACATTCGTTGAGGTGAGCTCTGTAATCTCTGATTACCTATGTTTGTTGATGATCTAAAATGCATCTCAACTGCAAACCATAAATGTAACATTTCTTTGAGAAGAAGAGGAGAAAAAATTCATTTCTTGCAGAGTAACACATTACTGGGCCGAGTGATGAATTTCACCATACAAGGAATTTTAAACCAAAATCGTGTGAGTGCCATCTGGTGGGACTTAAGGAATCAACTGGACAGGGGACATAACTTTGTTCTAACAATTGGAAATCATACATACCAGAGCAGCACTCAACCTACAACTTATGAAGACATCACTAAGTATCAGATTCCTTTAAAAAAAAATTCTTGAGCTTGTATTCTTTCAAGTCTGCAAGTTAGGTCTGGGTGTGTGGAGCATGCATATTATTTGTGTTCACTTGAGTCTGTCACAATTAACAGAAAGATTGAGCAAGATGCTGTATTTAAAACATGAATGCTTGTATTAATTCTTATTTTTCATCATCCATGTGTAACGCTGTCACTAAATGAGCTTATATTTGCATGGTTACACTGTTATAAACCTAGTTAGGAAATGGTAAAAGATGCCTGTAGTGGTATGGTGCAACCCTCCATGACATTAAGGGGATGTGCTGAAGTTGATATTTCTTTTCTCAGCATGGAAATAAATATGGAATTTGCTTCACTAGACACTGATAGTCTCCTTCAAGGCCACCCTTTAACTGCCAGGAAAGCTATAGACCAGGAAGTTGTAAGAATTGCCAAGGAAACAATGTCCCCTTTGGTTACCAAGACAATTTCCAATATTGCATTTCACAAGGTTTGTATAACAGGGCATAATTTCATTAACCCCTTTTTTGGTACAGGGTCCTATAGGCTGTACCCTTTCAAATGGGAATTTTAAATTGAAAAAAAGTGGCAAAATTGGAAAATATTGATGAGTCAAACTTATGTTTTACTGTAGAAGAAGAAAAATAATTCCCAATTCACATCTTGATGAATCATTATAATCTCAAAATTTTAGTTTTTTAAAATAAAAAAAATTGCTGAAAAATTGAATCTGCTTGATATTGGGAATTTTTACCTTAAATTTTTGTGGAAAAAAGAGTAAATTTTCAATTTGGACAGGGTCTTTTTACCGAGCTTGCATGTAATGGATATTAACCATGTTTAATGTCACAATGAGGAAATTAAAATCCAATAGACAGCTGCATTTAATGTCACTGATACATACATGTATACATGTATATACTATTCACAAAAGTCACATGTACAGTGTATTAGCATGATGTGATATGATTTCCTGAAGCATTAAATTCATTTTATGAAACATATCTAGATATAAACATTGATGTTCTTATTACGAGTATTTTTCCACAGAATACAATCAAATTCATGGTATCCAAGAAACCAGAGGACCACAGGGATTTACGGAAAGAATATTTGCAGCTGAGAGGCTTTATCAACCAGGGACTGTTGAATATCCGACTGTTCAACATGCAGTATACTGCTTTTTCTGCCTTCTTTGTTGGAAGCTTCGGAGAACTGTGCTCAAGGCAGTGTTGGGAAGGGTTAGCACATCTGCTGACTAGTATTTTTATACATGTATATTCATTCATAAAAAGAGTGGGGAGAGGACTTCTTAAATTTTTAGCTCACCTGAGCCAAAGGCTCAAGTGAGCTTTTCTGATCAAAGAGTGTTCGGCGTCCATCTGTTGTCTGTAAACTTTTCACATTAATTTTCAACTTCACCTCAAGTGCAAGTAGTACCTTACCCAGTCCCCATTTCTAGATAAAGAAAATTTAAGTACTGTGTGATACCCTCAGACAGAGCTGTCTTAATAATCATTCCAATCATTAACTCCGACAACAGAGTTAAAGGAAAACCTATATATCCCTTGTAAGAACCTGATCATACAAGTTACATAGGAAATATCTTTTAAAATTTTCTCAAGAACAATTAAGCCATTATTAGTCATATTTATACAGAAGCAACGTTAGGTATTATATATTCAAGTTTGTTCAAATTATGATCCCCCAGGGGTTGGGGGCACAACAGAGGGTCAAAGTTTTACGTAAGATTATATAGGAATCATCTTTAAAAAAAAATCTTCTGCTCAAGAACAGCAAAGCAATGTTTAGTCATATTATTATAGAAGCATCCTCAGGAATTGTAGATTCAAATTTGTTCAAATTTAGGGTGGGTTCACCATGAGCGATGAGATATTTACATAGGAAAAAAATCTTTAATAAAATTCTTCTGCTCAATAACAGCAAAGCCATGATTAGTAATATTGATTTGGAAGCATCCTGAGGTAGTGTAAATTTAAGTTCCCCCCCCCCCCCCCAACTTTTCAATACTTAAACTGATTTCTGCTTTTTCCTAGCCAATGTGCTCAGGTGAGCGATGTGGCCCATGGGCCTTTTGTTAGAACTTGTGTCAAAATCTGCTGACATATACTGTCAATAAAATATGTTCAAAACAGAAAGTACAACAAATATAGAGCACAGAGTATCATTTTGATTCAAAAGGGAAGCTGGAAATGGGAAGGACTTTAATTAATATAATTTTTAAGTGGTTCGCTTGTTTGATTAGCTCTCTCTAAAAGTAAAAAGATGGGAGAAAGTGGAATATGAGGTCTTGAAATTTGAGTGACTGTCGTATGTACATGTAAAAAAAGAAAAAAAAAACCAGATGATGTCTCTGAGAACTGGATAAGGAATGAAGAATTTTCTGTGCTGAATTTCTGTAAATAAGTCTCTTTTTCTTTTTACAAACAATTGTCATCAATTAAATTTTTTATTCGTTTAAATTTGCAAAAGTCTGTATAAGCATTATTATGTGGAGAGTGAAATTAATTATACAAGCACAAAATTAATACAAAGATCTTCATAAACACAACTTTTTTTAAAATTGACTCAAGATAACATTCCTTATTTTGACAAATATTTCACATATAAAAATTGTTCTATGACACAATGATGTAAAAATTCAAGCTTTTAATTCTTACCTCAGACTTGATGAGACAGCATGTTCCACCATATCAGGATGTTACTGGTCAGATCAGACTCAGCAGTGTGCTGACGACAACATTCTACCAGAAACGTGAGTCATGTTATACAGTCATAGATATTAATAATCTAGGAAGTTATTTAGAAACCTCCAAGTGAAATTTCCTCAATTTTATGTTGGATATAAATTTTGCACAGTCATTGATTATGTTTAAAAAAATTAAATGATTATATAAAATCATATACATATGATATAAAAAATTGATTTTTATTAAAAATGCCTTCATTTTGTACACCAAGTATATAAATAGTAGCTTTCTCTGAAAGAGCAGCAAGCTTTGATAAAAACCTGGAGAGAAATCTACAAGTTGTAAGGCATCTGTCCACAAAAGCAATATTGATGAGACTGGTGTGTTGAAAGTTCTGAAAAAATTTTCAATGTTGATGTGTTTTGTAGGAAAAAAGTTACAGTTGTATTTTCTTGTGCCAAGTTTGAAGAATTGACCAAAGACGAGAGAAATAAAAGCCTGGATACAATAAAAAATGAAGTGGTTAAATTTATGCAGGGTCTACCTACAGGAGCTAAGGCCCAATCTTTTACCTTTGGTGATGTAAGTCTTGGAATGAGTTTATTCTGTTTACTAAACCTTTTTAGCTCACCTGAGCTGAAAGCTCAAGTGAGCTTTTCTGATCACCCGTTGTCCGTCGTCCGTCCGTCTGTAAACTTTTCACATTTTCAACTTCTTCTCAAGAATCACTGGGCCAATTTTAACCAAATTTGGTACAAAGAATCCTTGAGTGAAGGGGAGTTTAAATTGTAAAAATAAAGGGCCAAACCCCCTTACAAGGGGAGATAATCAAGAAAAGACAAAAATAGGGTGGGGTCATTAAAAAATCTTCTTCTCAAGAACCAGTGGGCCAGAAAAGCTGAAACTTATGTGGAAACATTCTAGTGTAGTGTAGATTCTAAATTGTTAAAATCATGACCCCCGGGGCAAGGGCGGGGCCACAATAGGGAATCCAAGTTTTACATTGAAATATATAGAAAAAAATCTTTAAAAATCTTCTTCTCAAGAACCACTGGGCCAGAAAAGCTGAAACTTATGTGGAAGCATCCTTTGGTAGTGTAGATTCTAAATTGTAAAAATCATGACCCCCGAGGGAAGGGCAGGGCCACAATAGGGAATCCAAGTTTTACATTGAAATATATAGAAAAAAATCTTTAAAAATCTTCTTCTCAAGAACCATTGGGCCAGAAAAGCTGAAACTTATGTTGAAGCATCCTGGGGTAGTGTAGATTTTAAATTGTTAAAATCATGACCCCGGGGAAAGGGCGGGGCCACAATAGGGAATCCAAGTTTTACATTGAAATACATAGAAAAAATCTTTAAAAATCTTCTTCTCAAGAACCACTTAGCCAGACAAACTGAAACTCATGTGGAAACATTCTGGGGTAGTGAAGATTCTAAATTGTTAAAATCATGACCCCCGGGGCAAGGGCGGGGCCACAATAGGGAATCCAAGTTTTACATTGAAATATATAGAAAAAAATCTTTAAAAATCTTCTTCTCAAGAACCATTAGGCCAGAAAAGCTGAAACTTACGTTGAAGCATCCTGGGGTAGTGTAGATTTTAAGTTGTCAAAATCATGACCCCTGGGGAAAGGGCGGGGCCACAATAGGGAACCCAAGTTTTACATTGAAATACATGGAAAAAATCTTTAAAAATCTTCTTCTCAAGAACCACTTAGCCAGACAAACTGAAACTTATGTGGAAGCATGCTGGGGTAGTGTAAATTCTAAATTGTTAAAATCATGACCCCGGGGGAAGGGCGGGCCACAATAGGGAATCCAAGTTTTACTTTGAAATATATAGAAAAAATCTTTAAAAATCTTCTTCTCAAGAACCATTAGGCCAGAAAAGCTGAAACTTATGTGGAAGCATCCTTTGGTAGTGTAGATTCTAAATTGTTAAAATCATGACCCCTGGGGGCAGGGGGCGGCCACAATAGGAAATCCAATTTTTATATTGAAATATATAGAAAAAAAAATCTTCTCAAGAACCACTTGGTCAGAAAAGCTAAGACTTTTGTAGAAGCATCCTGGGGCAGCGTAAATTCTAAAGAATTCAAATCTTGACCCCTGGGTGTAGGGCGGACCACAATAGGGAATCCAAGTTTTACATTGAAATATATAGAAAAAAATCTTTAAAAATCTTCTTCTCAAGAACCATTAGGCCAGAAAAGCTGAAACTTATGTGGAAGCATCCTTTGGTAGTGTAGATTCTAAATTGTTAAAATCATGACCCCTGGGGGCAGGGCGCGGCCACAATAGGAAATCCAATTTTTATATTGAAATATATAGAAAAAAAAATCTTCTCAAGAACCACTTGGTCAGAAAAGCTAAGACTTTTGTAGAAGCATCCTGGGGCAGCGTAAATTCTAAAGAATTCAAATCTTGACCCCTGGGTGTAGGGTGGGGCCACAATAGGGAATCCAAGTTTTACATTGAAATATATAGGAAAAATCTTCAAAAATTTTCTTCTCAAGAACCTCTTGGCCAGTAAAGCTGAAACTTATATGGAAACATCCTAGGGTAGTGTAGATTTTAAATTGGTAAAATCATGATCCCCTCGGGTAGGGCGGGGCCACAATAGGTATTACAAAAAGATCATCTGGTGAAGAACAGCAGGGCCAAAGTTATTCAGGTGAGCGTTGTGGCCCATGGGCCTCTTGTTTTTTTTGTTTTCAAATAAGAACTTTCTAAGCTGCCATGAAAATAGTAAGTTGTCATAATTAAAACAATTTTTGAGGTGGAACCCACTTTTTTTTTTTTTGATTTTCAAACTCCTTCATCTGAAAAAAGTTTATAAAAATTGGAAGAGATACATGTATTTGTTTCAAATTTTAAACAAAAGATTAAATTTATCTCATACCTTTAAAGACTGAAAGTAGCATTTCTTAAATTGAATGGATGGGGTTGGGAGAGGAAAGGTAATGATTTTAAATTAGAATAAAAGTGTTTTCTTTTGTTAAAGTTCTAATAAACTGTATGTAATAAAGCAATGATAGTTCTGTATATCTTTAGGACTTCAGGAACAGTTTTACATTCTTGGTCCAAGGAACTGCAAGGCGAGCTCCATTATCAGAAATTGTGACCAACATCTCAAAATGGATAAGTGAAGGTCAACTACAACTTGTAGTCAACAACACATGGTTCAGAGGTCAGGATGTAGAAGATTTCAGCAGGTTAGAGGCAATATTCTGTCATTCTTACAGTTCATAACAAAACTTCCTGTCGAAAATATTTATTAAGTTTGGCTGTTTTGCACCTTCTTTTTCTGCTATAGGCTTCGATCTTCAGAAAAAGTTTGATAACAACAGAAGGCCTCCTTTAAACAGAAGTAAAATAAAAAAAAAATTTTTAGTCCATTTTACTCATCTGCAAACACATCTATTGTTTTGCATGGAAAAATTCCAGTTCATATTTTTCAGTATATACAAAGGAGACAAATTACATGATAAGAAAGATTAAAAAGTACAATATAACGATGTCATTTCCAAATTGATCTGAAGTTCTTTCCAAATATGGGCATGTGTGATTAAGTGTTATTATTCAAATAGAGATGTACATGTATTGTCAGTAGTGTTACAGGGTATTAAATGTCATTTCAGTATTGAGATAGCCATGCTCTTCCCAAATGTAGAGTTTTCCAAGTTAGACTTGGGACGAAGAAGGAAACTAAAGGAGGATCTGTTCCATCAGCTACAGAGCTTGCTATCATCTGATTTCTCCATCAGTGATATTCATAATGTCTGGTTTGATCAGGTAATATATTAAAAATTGAGATAAATACCTCAATTTTTGGAATGCCTATTGGAGGTAGAGTAAAGCAGTGAAGCTTTTTTATGCAGAACTTTTTTTTTTTAGATGTTCATAAACTTTTCTATGCAGATTTTTGTTTTTTTGGTTCACTTTGAATATCAATTTTTAAATTCCCAGGTCATTTACTGTTTATTAATTTTGGGAGGTACAAATGTTGCAGAGAATGTAACTCAATGATTTAATTCAAGAAGGGGTTTACAAAAGAACAAATAGGATTGAGTGGCATTGAAACCAGATAGTGTATGAAAATCCTCCCCCTAATTTACAAGGACATTTATTATTGTATAAGGAAGTGAAAACCATTCACTGAAACAATTAAATACCCTTTCTTTTCAATAATTAAGTGCTGTAACTGTCACTGTGATCCTGAGAACCAGGAAGTCATGCATTGTATTCTACAAAATTTAATTTCCCTTACATCTGAAAAGTTGAATTTGACTGTAAATATGACAAAAGGCCAATTTTACAAATAAGCTTAAGAGAAAGTAAAAATAGAAATAATGCATCATGTTGGAAGTGTAAATTCCAAGTTTGTACACACCATGATCCCTGCATTGTTCCATTTTTTTCCCTCTTAATAATGCAAGGCTAGAAATTACAAAATTTATACAGTAAAACTTGTTTAGTACGAACACGGATATAGCAAATTAACAGATATAGCGAAGTTTTTTGGAATCCCCGGCAAAATTCTTAATAATTCCTTGTATTATTATTAGGCTATAACGAACAAAGATATAGCGAATTTACGGATATAGTAAACTGATTTTGCGTCCCCTAGAGGTTAAAAATAATGAAATTTAGATGTTTTATAGCGAATTTTCAAAGATCTAGATTTTTAAACATTGGACTGACATTAGTTTTTAAGTATTTTAAATTTGAAATTCAATTCATCCTAAAATTTATCAACTCTAGCGTAACTTTTGTATTTAATACTTCCCAAAATACATTTGGTAGTCATACAAGAGGAAAATATAATCTATATTGTGAATTCCCTATATACACTACAACAATTTCATTATACGGATACATGTATAATGAATTACGGATATAGCGAAGTAATTTCGCAGGTCCCCAAGACTTCGCTATAACCAAGTTTTTACTGTATGGAGTTATGAACAGTGCAGAATAAAGTGAAGCAGTTCAAGTTTTTACAATGTATTATAAAGGAATTAAAAGTCTTCACCAAAACAAGGGTTCAAGGGGTCAAATTACAATGTATTGTGAAAATATTGATCATTATGCAATGTAAAATCAGATCTGTCCGAATCATTGCCCTTTGGGTCAAATTTAGATGCTTATGGGTTTTCAAGGTTTATAAAGTAATAAATAAGAAAAAGTACCCACTTTATGCTTAAAAAAACAAAGCAAAAAGGAATTTAAAAAAATAGCAATGTGTCAATCAGGTGATCATTAAAGCCCAAGGGGCTCTTACTGTATATACTCGCCTATAAGTCGTTTTTTATTTGGGGGGGGGGGGAGTTAATCTCTGCATGGTCCAAAACTTTGTCCGACTTATTTTGTAAGGTCAGTCCCTCTGATATAAGCCTATTAAATACAACCGAAGTATAGGCAGGCCGACTTATAGGCAAGTATATACAATAAATAAAGCTAGTTGTTATTTTTACTTGCAGAAATATATTGTATTTAAAGTGCAAAGGAACAATTTAAATTCCTCTGTGAGTACAGAGATTGAGAAATGGAAGCAGATGTTAAAACTACAAGCTTTCTCCATATTACTGGAACACACAAGAATTCATCCCACAAAACTGGTATATCAGAAAAGCCTAAGTGGAATTTGTCCTATTTCTTGTTTTAACAGGTAAGTGGAAAGATGTCAATACACATCTTTGTATCTCCTCTGAAAAAAGGCCCAGTGTTTAGAAAGTGTCATGATATTATTTACATCCACTGAATATTTTTTCCTTTATTTCTGATATTTATTTCTTATAAAAACCACTTCCCTTCATCAATCCAAAATTAAAACTTTTTTTTTCAAGGTAACATTTGAAAAAGGGCTATTTCATTAATGAAACATACATGGCACAGATCAATGATACAATATTTTACGAACTTAAACCTTACTTTATAGTTTACTTAGAGCATACAGACATAAATATAAACAATAAAAATGGCCTTCCTTGTTTGCTAATGCAGAATTAAATGCTTAAAAAAAACTGCAATGTGTCAATCAGGTCAATTGCTTACACAGGTTATGTAAAAATTTTTCTGTTATGGTTGCAATAAATTCCCACAATAACAAAGAAAGAAAGACATTTTATTGCGTGTGAAGGAAGCAGCATTTAGTAACTACGAATAAAAAAAATAAAAATAAAACAATGCCAATATTTTTGTTACAATGTGTTTCAATCAATTCAGTCAACTACATGATAAAAACAATCAACCAGTCTCTTGGTCAATTTTAGCTGTTAAGGGAAGCAACTCAGAAATAATGATCGGTGCCGGTATATCCATGTCTTGATCCGATATAAAATTTTTAGCCAAAATTTCTAGAAGTCATAGGAAATGAAGATAAAATAATGTATATAATACAAAAACTGTATGAAATAAGTGGGTTTTGGAAAAATATTATGGTGAAAAATTATGTAGGTCCCTTTTATCAACATTTTACATAGGAAATGCATTGAGAAGTGTAAAAACACTGATTTGACAAAATCTAAAAAAGAAGGTTGGATTGGTAGGTTAAACGGTCCAGAATATAGCCTGTTTAGTACATTTAAACCTACTCAAGAGTTCTTGAAAAATTCTATACGATAACCAGGAACCTTGCCAATGTCCTTAAATGCAGTAAAACTTACAAGGAAAATCCAATGTAGGGAAATATTGGTTATAACTTAAGGAAGTTGTACATTTTCTCCATGCCTTAGATCATAACTATACATTTATTTCTTATATGGAAATAATAAGGAACTAAAAAATCTTGTCCCAAGGACTTCCTAAAGCAAGGTTTACTGTAGTTGCAAGTTAATTCACACACTCAGAAGTGTTGGCCTATAGTTTTTTTTTTTAATTATTCCTTGTTTATTGTTACTAAATAAATATATGAAGAGCCTACAAAAAAATTTTGTTACTTGTCAATGAAAGTGGTTAAAAATAGCATCACTAAAGGTCATTTCCTCCTCAAAAGGACATTTGATGTAGTTGTGTGATCTTTGGAACTATAATACCCCTGATCTTTGAACCTATAATACTACATACTTGAATGGTTGAAAGGGGTGCCCCCCCCCCCCCCCCCCACACACACACACACATTTTAAAAGCAACGTTAATATTTAGAATTTCATTTGTATGAAATTTATGAAAAGGAATAAAATTTATGAAGGGAATAAAAGATCATTCAGTTAATAAGATCAAAATGTGGACAAGTATGTAATTAAATGTACAAATGCACATGTATTTCAGTTCTATAAATTCACTGTGTAGAAAATCGCGGGGGTGTTTTTACAATGGAACTTGGAATATTGACCACTGTCAGAAGAAGAAACTGATGGGAAGCAGGTAAAATTTTGTAAAGAAACTTTATAGTTTTCCCTATGCATGATTTTAATTACCCAATGTCCAGGTCTGGGGAACAAGAAGTAGTCTTAGACTTAAGACGGAATTAGTGGACAACCAGAAGTTTATTATATCAGACATGGAGGATTAGAGATGTAGTTGAAGATTGTCTACCTACATGTTGTTCTGAACTGCAAGCTTTCATGTCAGTATATGGTGTATAAATATTTCAGAATTAAGGAAATTTTCCCATTCTTCTGTCTAAAATCTCCAAAGATCATGTTGCCTCTTTCTAAATTACAATAAGTTTTAAATGAAATTTGAAAATTCTTCCAAAAAAAAAAATAAATAAATAAATAAATAAAAATAAAGAAATTTGTAAAATAAAGTTACATACAATGTTCTCACAATTTGGGTTACTGTTTGTTGAGGCTAGCTGACATGTATAAATGCAATAACAGAACATGTATAAAATTATAGAATTTACTTGCAGCCATGTGTACACCCTATTTGTGGCATGTAATGCTACAGAGGCATTAAATGCATCAGAGAGGATGGAAACAGAGCAGGACCTCAGAGGAAAGCTAGAGACTTTGTTAGGGGAGGCAAAAGAAATCCTACAGGATGTAATCATAACAGAGGTAGGTCTTTGTGAAGAGATGCAGGAGAGGTCTTAAGGGATATGTAATAATTTTAGAGGTAGGACTTTTGTGCTGGAGATGTTTTACAGGATGCAGTAATTAAAGAGGTAGGAGATGAAGGACAGGTCTTGAGTATGTAATCATTTCAGAGTAGAACTGTTAAGTAAGGCAGAATAGATCTTAATGTATGTAATTACAAGGGTAGGACAATGTGAGATGAAGGAGAGATCCTATAGGTTGTAATCGTTATAGGTGAGACTATGGAAGAAGAGGTCCTACAGGATGTAATCATTGTAGGTAAGACTTTGTGAGGAGATGAAGGAGAAGTCCTACAGGATGTAATCATTATACGTAGGACTATGTAAGGAGATGAAGGAGAGGTCCTACAGGATGTAATCATTATAGGTAAGACTATGTAAGGAGAGGTCCTACAGGATGTAATCTTTATAGATAAGATTATATGAGGTGTTGCAAGGAATCGAAGAGGATTGAATAATTACAGAGGTAGGATTTTTTATAGGGAAGCACTACTAGTCCTAAGGAGTCATGATAGATGTAGGACTGTTAGGAGATCAAGTTAAGTCTTATAAGAATACAGCAGAGTCTAGGAAAATGTAATTAATGTATGGATAAGTATGAAGGAAAGATTGCACATGATGCAATGAAATCAAAGGTAGGTTTTGGTCAGAGAAAATAGGAGATTTCTGAAAGGATGTTTAAACCATCAAGAAGCATGACTTTTTTTGAAGTAACATGTAATCATGGCATATGTAATCATTATGGAGTATATCTATGCTTGGGAAAGTTATAGAGATCTGAGAGGATCTATTCTTACGTTAATTTGACTTTTTGACTTAGGTCAGGACCCTCTACAGAATGTAATGATGGCAAAATACATTTCAATATTATCCAATGGCATTTTCATATTTGCAATAAATGGAGAGGGGGGAAAAACAGAAAACTAATCTATGGAAGTACATGTAGAAGTCTCTACATATGCAGCATTGTCATTACACTTTCAGCTTAAAATATTCATGTTTATTTGGACCCTCATATATTTTTCAAAAAATCTCCCCCCCCCCACCCCCTCCTCATCAAGAGAAAAGATTAATAAAGCTTCATGAGCATTGTTTCAGAAGCATAATAACACAGCATTTTTCAATGCCAAAATACCCAATTGTACAAAAAACAAAATCAGTTGTAGATAATGATATGTGTATATATGTCCTTAGGAGGGTGCAGATGTTGTTCTCCATGCCACAACTTTACATCCCCACCTGGAGCTTTATGTAGAGACACTGAATACTGAGGCAGACTACACAAAAGACTTCAGATTTGGTCCTTCCACTGAGAAAAATAAGTTTGCACCTCGTAAGAAGAATGATTCCACAAAGTAAGTTTTGCTGTATTTTTTTCTTATTAATAATACATTTCTTGACCCTTTACATTCTGCATTGTATACTTTAGATGTTTTTAAGCAAGATTCTTAGTTCAGCATTTTTAGCCCAGTGGCTGATGCACTTATTTATGAACATTGCCAAAATATTAATGTGATCTTGTTTTAATATAGTACAAATACTGCTTGTGCTCATTCAAGATTGTTCCAATTTGGCGATGGGCTTAGTCTTTGTTAAGTTTTGAATATGTTAAATATGTTAAAATATGGTAAGAGTCTGAAGTACAAACTTTGATCAGGAAACACCATATCAGAGACTATCTCTTAAGGTATAACATAGAAACCTAGCTTTTTTTCTGTGTTTATTGGCTTTATAAAGCAGATTGGGAAGAATTTAGCAAAGAACTTACATTGTGTAATATGTGTAGAGAAAAAGTGATTGGTTATAGAATAAGACAACTTTGACTATCCATGTATCATGTACCCTGGAATAGTTGCTGATATAACTAGAGAATGATATATTTTGAAATATCTCTATACAGTGTAGATGTGATCCTGAAATTCAGTAGTATTGACTTGGAGGCTTTACAGAACCTTCATCTGGCCACCAGGGAGGACATCTCTCAAGATCTACAGCAGCAGGTCAACAGTCTACTAGTGGGGGAGGTGGCCCAGTCATTTAATCTCACCTGGATCAAACAGGTAGTTATACGTAGATTCCACATCAAATTTATTGTAGAAATTACTTAATGCCTTTCCCAACATGGTATGTAAATAATGAAATTGTCATTGATTTATATTTTATGTCTTAAATTATTTAAATATTAAAATGATCATGTACCTGAGATTTAGGCCAGTAATTATTTTTTGTTCATTACCATCCCTTCTTTCAAGTTTCTTCAAATCTTTTTATCCATTTCCAGGATAGACTGTCATTTGAGTTGAAGAAGTCTGCCCAGAGTAAAGTAAACATGGTGGAGGAAGTGGACAAGATAAGGGAAGCAGTTAAACACCGTCAGATCACACTTCACGTCCACTACATCCGGCCTATAGTGGCTACGGAAGGACACACGGTCAACACTTTTAAAGAGTTAGTTCCCTTTTTTCATAGCTAACTTCACTTATAAAGGGAGAAAAAGGAGGTCACTTGTATTGAAATAAGGAAAAGTGTTTTAAAACAATGGAAATATTTTTTAAAGAATCTTGAAGAAGAAAGTTCACATTGTTCTATTTTGATATAACTTGCACTTTATTATTATATACCCAACTGTATATCACCCGATTTTACTTTTGATTTCATGTGACAGTGTGATCCAACTTTCCGGATCACCACAATGTATTTCTGAATCCATATCACCCCTCTCTGATTTGATGAAGTACAGTAGTATTATATTTTGCTAATTATAGAGGAATATGTAATAAATTTATCCTAATGACAGAAACTTAATCTGAAAAGCTATATTACATCGAGTTGAGGAGACACAGTTTGATCTGATGATCCGCGCATGTCAACTCAACATGATACGCCTCTCCAGATCAAGTTACTGTTATAATAATATATATATATATATATATTCCTCTGAAATATTTAGTGCATGAAAAACAGGTGGGGACAGTGTGTCTCAGTCTTTATGAGTTTTTTTTTTGTGTTCATGAATGTACAAAAAGAATAACCTTTTTTTTGTGAAGAAAACCAGTGATTTTCAGAGTGATTTAATTTTTTGCTAAAGCTTATTCTTACATTACACCTAAAAATTAGTGATAAAGCTTTGAATATATCTATGTTGTACTCTGTATAAACTTGTGTCTCTCTGTTTCAGGCTTTGTCCAGAGAAATATCGAGCTTCCTCCACAGTTCCCCCTGTTATAACAACAGTAAACAGCATCAATGCCTCCTATGTACGTATTTCATGTTTCAAATATAAGAATCATTTTAAGTGTAGAAATGTATGATCTATGTTTTTCCTAGAGTCACAATTCTATACATTTAAGGACACACGCAACGTACCTTACCTACTGATAGTTTTTCAAGATATTCTTAATTTAAGATTATACATGTAGTGCCATCAGATGTTCGTAGACAAAAAATCAGCATGTATTACCAGGGGTTTTGAAAAGATATCAATTGATGAAAATTCTTGTATAATTCAAAGAAAAATGTACAAAAATTACTAAACATATATTCTAGATGTTTTGTTTATCCAAACTTGTTTTAGAAGAAGTGTACAACAGCATATATAGACATTAAAATGTAGCACACAGTTCCTTCAAGTATTGGAACTCTTTAACTCCAGGGAAAAAGACAATAAAATTAAATCTATGTTGCGTATGTCCTTAAAGTTATGATTCAACTTGCTGATTAGGTCATCCTTTCTGGAGGAAAAAAAATTATACCTTGATTTAAACAGTCACTTATTTTTCAGCAGGTATTTTATGTTGAAAAGTTCCCAGTAGATAAGAAATTTTAAGACTCAACTTAATAAAAAAAAATGTGAATATTTTCAGACTACAACCATCACAGTACCCCTCAATAGACCAGAGTTAATTGTGATCTACAATGCCTCTGAGATTTCACGTTCAGAAGCAGATGCCCTGGTCCTGGATACAGTCAGAACCTGTTTTGTGGAGGTCCACTCCTGTGAATACTGTTCTAGTCAATTTTCCCATGACTCCTGCTCTTTTGAACCACTCACCACTGAGAGTCCTGTCTCAACTACAAATCAGGTAAAAAAAAAACACATAGAATTCCTATACTGATGTACAGCTAAAATCTTCACCATCAGTATATTTTTGAAATCAGTTCATTAAGTTTTTATCAATCTACATGTATCGATCAGGTCATAAAAGTTTACAGACATCCATTCATCACACATGCATGTATATACATCTAAAAAATACCAGAAATTTATACAGTCATGTAGATAGCCACAGTAAATATGAATTCCTCTAACTTCATACACTGAGATACAATTTGCTGAAAGCATAACATTTCCTGATTTTACAACACATGCTTGTGGCCCAGAGCATAATATTGTTAAGTGTATGAATGTATTTCTATTTTAACAATAATACCCATTAATTAAAAAAAAATGTTTCAGACAATTAACTTTTGAACACGAAAGCTATAAAATACTTGAAACCTTTTCACTATGACAGGCTGATGTTTCAACACCAGTGGTCAGTCCAGATGATCAGATTTACTTTGGAGCTGTCACTATCACCATAATGGCCACCTCAGGTTGTTTTCTATTGGCCTTAGCTCTCTGGGCAGCTGACTATGGTAGGTTCTGATTGGACTAGATTTTCTAGACATGATTTCTTTTTCCATTGGTTGAAGCATAATGTCTACATTTAATTTCTTTTATGTAATATATTACTTTATTCAAGGTCAAATACAGTACTTAAAAGAAAATTTAGTTTTATTATATTTCTTTTTGATTCTCATGTCTCCTTGAAATTGTGTATATATGCTGTTGAGACTTTTTATTTTCATGCTTAGTGGTAATATGTATAGCATATATTGTAATAATTTCCTAAAACTTACACATAATAAATATGTTTACTTTTACAGTCAGAAAGGCAACCACAAAGAAATCAAAATTCAAACGAAAAGCCAAAAACTCTGAGAGAGAGGAAACACAGCACTGACAACTGTAAAGTTAACATACTTTTTTTTTCCATGGAGTCAAAATTCCACTGAATCACAATTACTGTTCAATCCGTGGGAATATGGATTTCTTAGATTGCCACTATATGCCTTAAATGTACTTTAAGTATGCTGGGACAGTTCCCACGGTAAATTTGTGACCTCATACATAGTGTAAATTAATACTACATGGAAAAAAGTACTTCTAAAATGTCTATGTACAACAGAGGATGATATACATACAATAAAACAGATCTAGACATCTGAGTATCAGTGTTGTTCATCTCTGTGATAATTATGTATGTGTAAATGCTGTTTGCATATAAAAGATATTTTCATGTTTGTCCAATATCTGTTCATGATTTTGAACATCTAGTGATTCAAAAGAAAGATGCATTTATCGCTAATGGGGGACAATTTTTTTTAAATGAAGAAATATGAAATGATATAATTTTATGTATTGTGTGAAAAGACTGATCTAAATGTATAATTTATCTTCAGACCATTACAGCCCCTAGAATGGTTCAAGCCATTAGGTTTATCAAAAACAAGATGTGTTTCTGAAATACTGATGCCCCTGTAGGCAACTTATAGCAAAGGTTAAACTTTCTCAAATGCAAATCAAATATGTTGGTACTCAAAGTAAGGTTTTGTCTCGAGGAATAAACCTGTGAAATATGAAAGCCCTAACAGCAACCTTTGAATAGATATGGAAAATGTTAAAAAAAAATTCAAAGGTAAGTCAAACAAGAAAGTCAAATGGTCAAAATTGATAATGTCCAAGGAAAGGCCTTCTCACAAAAAATACATATGTGAAATATATGAAAGCCGTAGCACTAATTGTTCAAAAGTTATGGCCAACATTTTTCAAAAGTAGGTCAAACATCAAGGTCAATGAATTATAGTTTTTGGTATCCAAATGAAGGTCTTGTTACAAAGGAGAAATATGCTAAATACAAAAGCCCTAGCACCAACTGTTCAAAAGTTATGGCCAAGGTTAAAGTTTCAAAAGTAGGTCAAACTCCTAGATCAAGGTCAAAGGGTCAAGATTGTTGGTATCCAAAGGAAGGTCTTGTCACAAGAATTACACATGTGAAGTATGAAAGCCCTAGCACCAATTGTTCAGAAGTTATGGCCAAGGTTAAAGTTCGGTAAAATTTTGCAATAATGGGTCAAACTCCAACGTCATAAGGTACCCAAAGAAAGGTCTTGTCACAAGGAATACACATGTGAAATGTGAAAGCCATAGCTCCTACCAATCAAAAGTTATGGCAATGCTAAAGTTTTTGCGGACAGAGAGACAGACATATAGGGCAAAAACTGTATACCCCTGAATCTTCGATACGGGGACATAAAACACTATACTGCTAAATACATGTATTGAAGAATAAATATGCCTGACCATAATGATTATCAGTGTGAGAACAGTTATTAGGTCATCTGAGTCGCTCAGGTACATTGATATCTGTGTTGTCCGTTGTTGTGTGACTTATGGTGCAAGTCGCTTCTCCTGAACCAATTTTAACCAATTTTGGCATATAGCATCAATGGGTGAGGTGGTACAAAATTTATGAATTCCATGGTCTCTGCCCCCCCCCCCCCCCCCTGGGGCCCGAGAGGTGGGGTTAAAACCATCAAACCATTAGTGCTATCGAAAAAAAAAACTTTACTCCAGAACATCAAGCAGACAAAATTTTGTTATTAATATAATAATAATTGAGCCCTCTACCCAAACTGTGAAGTTCAGAGTTCCAGGATCAGGGGTTCTGGAATTAGAGCAGGGCTCTAATGACGTGTAGTGAAAGTGCATAAATTCTTTTAAAATTCATCTCCTCTTGAGTATTTAGCAGATAAACTAAGTGCATAGTTGTGATGAGCAGGGCTGCCTATTCTAAAATTTTGCAATCTAGTCCCAGGGTCAGGATTTTTTTGGGGGGTGGGGGCTATTGAATATACAGTGAAAATGTCATTTTTTCTTTGAAAATCTTTTCTAGCAGACAAACTAAGTGCATAGTTATGATGAGCAAGAGTGCCTCTTCTAAAATTGTCCTGGGTCAGGGGCTCTGGTGTTAGGGCGGGGCTCTATTCAGATTATATAATGAAAATGCATTAATTCTTTGAAAATCTTCTCTGTTCCTTGGCATTAAGCAGATAAACTAAGTAAGTAGTTGTGATGAGCAAGGATGCTTCTTCCAAAATTGTGAAATTTGTGGCCCCAGGATCGGGGGTTCTGGTGTTAGAGGTGGGGGGGGGGGCCTTTATTGATGAATATATATATTAGTAAAAATGCATTTTTTTTCTCTGCTACTCGGAGTCGCCCGCGTGGCGCAGTGGTTAGAGCGACTGCTCTAGAGTCGCGGTGTTAGGAGTTGATCCTTACGTCGCGGGTTCGTCCACTGCGGTCCTTCAGTTGAGACCGTATAAACCGAGGTCCCGTGTCGCAGTAGGTGTTGGCACGAAAAAGATCCTTGCTCACTGCTCAATGGCCCTAAGTGCCGAGAAAAGGTCAAAATTTGCAGCCCTCCACCAGCAAGTGGTGGCCTCTCCATATGAGTGAAAAATTCTCGAGTGGGACGTTAAACAACAAGTAAACAAACTCTACTCCTCGATATTAAGCAGGTAAACTAAATGCATGTTTATGATTAGCAATTGTGCCTCTTTCAAAATTGTGAATTTCAGGCCCCTTGGGTTAAGGATTCTAGTGTTAGGGTTGCGGCTATGCATGTTGAATCTATAATGAAAATGCCTTATTTTTCTGAAAATCCCCTCTGCTCCTGTGCTTATAGGAGGCAAACAAGAGTACAAAGTTATTATAAGCAAGGGTATTCTTACCAGATTCTAGAAATTCTGGACCACTTCATCAAGCATTTTGGTGCTGGGCAGGCTCTATTTGTAAATATAAGGAATTCAGCTGTGAAATATGAAATCCCTAGCTCCAAACGTTCAGATATTCTTGCCTTTTCAAAAGTATGTCAAACTCCAAGATAAAGGTCATAGCCAGCGATCTCTTGTTATGAAAAATACATATATAATATGAAAGCCCTAGCACCAACAGTTCAGAAGTTATGGCCAATGTTAAAGACTTTCAAAAGTAGGTCAAACTCCAAGATCATATAAGGTCTAAAATGTTGGTACCCAAAGGTATCGTCACAAGAAAGACTTGTGAAATATTAAAGCCTTGGTACCAATGACCACGATTAAAGTTAGTCAATTTTTTTTTACAAAACTAGGTCAAGGTCAAAATGTATGCAAAGAAAGGTCTTGTCACAACGTTCAAAAGCTACTTGCAATGTTCAAGTTTTTGCAGGTAAACAGACGGATAGAACAAAACAAACACACACACACACACATTATGTATAGATATATACTGGAGCTGTCAAAGAACCGTATTGTATTTTCATTTATTTTCATGTTCTTTTCTTTAAATCTGAATTTAATACTGCAATTTTCAGCATCAGCATAACTTTGGCCAAGAAAAGCGAAAAAAGCCCAGCTTGTTATCCCAGGCGCGGATCCAGAAATTTTTTTCTAGGGGGGGGGGGGTCTAACCCAGTCAAAAAAAATCCAACCAAGAAATTTCTTGACAATCAAAAAAAAAAAAAAAAAAAAAAAAAAAAAAAAAAAAAAAAAAAATTAAAACAACAACAACAACAAAACGTAAACTCCTTTCCCAAACCCAGAATATTTATTTCGGGGTCGGTGGGGGTGGGGGTGTTAGTTGCTGACTTCTAAAGCTTCATATCTATTGATTTTCAAACCAACTTAACACGGATCCGCGTTTTCTAGGGGGGCCGGTCCAAGGTCAGTTTTAGTTGGTTTAGTGTATATATTTAATAACTGCAAATTCCAGGGAGGAGGGGGGTCCCCGACCCCCTCTAGATCCGCGCATTGGATCAGATGCCCGGGAGGAGTAAGCGTCAAACATCAATTCAACTGATGCGTGTATGATTCTCCATTTATAAGTGGACTTGGATGTTTGCAGACAGTTGTGTGATTGGATTCTATAGACTGATATGTTTATGATCCCTTTGTAAACAATTTAAGTGTTCCACAACCTGTATAAAAAAGAAATATTCTTCCATTATTGTATATAACACCCACTTTCATTGGTTTTTATATACATAAGGATTGTGACGTAACAATAACACTATGACGTCATCGCATTGTCTCAGAGACGCATAGAGGCATTTCTATGCGAGTTGCGACAGTGAATTTCGTTTGATAGTATTCCAAGCATTAAATCATGGCTTTCTTTGTCTTCAACTGGACTAAAAGAGAATACATCCTGACACTATTGGCTTTGGTGATGCTTGTCGTAACGGTGAAGCACAAAGAATATTTCTGTTGGTAAGTAAACCTTACGGAAGCCGGTAACATACACATATCTTAATTGACAAAACGTATGCTCTATTTAATATTTAAGATGGGGAATGCTTATGAGTTGAATAAGCTCTAGTTTGTTTCAATACTTTGTAAAGCAATATTTTTCCTTTAAAATTTGGGTTGTTATATTCATCCTTTTCGTTGATATAGTGAAGAAAAGCCAATAAGTACTTTTGAGAAGTTTGGCATCTGGCTTGGTTTTGTGGGGGAGCCAAAGCCGTGTCCAGGGCAGGAGGACCTCTACAATGTGAGTATGGGGTTATAATTATAAAATTACGACTCATTGAATTATAGCACCAATCTCTCATTGAATTATAGCACCAATCTAAGTCATATTTATATAGGTACCATACTATAAATGATTAATGATGATAGTGGTAATGATCATTTGGATAAATTGATTGCCTCGCGGATATTTGGTGACTTATGGCATAGGAGCCCATCGACGACCCCCCCCCCCCCCCCCCCAAAAAAAAAGTAAAGCTCCCGGGGCTTTTCTGAGCGGCACAGATTTAAGTTCAGTAAATCATATAGATAACCTGTACCCCTTTCCGTATTCCTTTCTACACTTTCTTTTGTCTCTTCGATTAATCCGTATGTGCTTGTATGGAGAAATTAGCACAGACCTTCAACTAAATGGTCAGTTTTATGTTTTCTCAAATATTTAAAATTTTCACATTTTTTAACAGATGGCTGTAGAAATGGGAGTTTCCTCTGTGGCTATACTTGCTTGTACCGCTATATCCAAGATGTGGTACTGGTCCACCTCTTTATTTGGACGCCTAACCCAGGCCGTGAAGGGAGGTTTCCGGTATCTGATAGGTATGCATGGTAATTGATCTTTAATTAAGTTTGCATTCTTTTTTTTTTAAGTATAAA